GCCGATTGGTCCAACCCCCATGTACCATTGCCTTAAAAGGAAGAGGAAACATTAGAACCACTCAGGGGACCGTCACAGTTGCAAAACAGAAAACACTAACTTTTCTGCAACAGTGATTTGTAACGGTTTTAGACTGCACTGACAAATGATGGCATCCTGCTGATAGTTGTAAAACTAATATTATATAGCAGCAATGAAGACCAGACTTTATGCAGACAAAAACTATAATTTTCCAAGCCATATAAAACCATCTGTATTATGTGGATTAATTAGCAGGGTAAGCACATTTTCCACTTACTAAATCTGCTTCATTGGCAGTAAGGAGCTCTCCATATTCAATCAGATGCAATTTTATTCAAGCTTTAGGCCACACTCAGTTAAAACAGCGGCAACTGATTGTACTCTTGAAGAATTATAAACTTAAAATCGCCAGAGATACCGTATGTGCCAGCAATAATAAAACCATATACACCCACTTCTACATAAATCTATGCTTGCATATGTGAATGGCTTTAGCATATTCAAGTTTCAAATCAAATAAAAATACACTCCATGATTATCCCAACTCTCCTGAGACAGTGTCTCTTCACCAGATAAGCAACATTAGAATATAGTTCAGGAAGATTTAGTCCTCAGATCGCTGTGGTAAGATGCTGTTAGGTCTAATTGTCACGGGGTATGTACGAGGCAGCAAGGAAAATGACCCAAATGCAGACAACCATGCAAACACGAATTTTGTCATATTTACAGAAGATTTCTGTAAAAAAGTGTTGATAGTGCTCATTGAGAAATGTCTGATTTAATTTCCTGAGAGGACAGAATGCAGCATGTTAATTCATTAGTCTCTCTCTGTTTTATCACTAGCCACACTTCCAGGAAAGTGCTACATATTCCTCTCAGGACTCCAGACAGTGATATATGTAGTAGGCAGGAAACAGCTGATGACTCTGAAGGACTGTACATTTGTGGTAAACTTTTTTATTCTCAGTTAAAAATGAATCCCCATTTCTTGTCCCAAGCTCCAGTGCTACACTGTGTTTATCAGTACTGCGTATAAGGTGACATCTCCATTTTTTAGCTAATTCATAAAGAGGTTTGTATTTTGTTGGATCAGCATTAGTTGGGACTTTGGCTAGCATTGCAATAATGTCATTTGGAGGCATAACTGTGATGATTAGAAAGTACTGGTGACCTGTCATCAACTACGGTATTTGTAGGATGTGTTTTAAAAACGTATGCAAAATTCCACTTCACTTTAAGTTTAACAGCAAAACTC